TTGAAACTTTCCCGATAAGCTCTTTATATGCATCGGGGTTGCGTTCTCGAAGCTGGTTGAAGGCTCGTATTCTGTAGATTTCAGGGGTGTCATTGAGAGCCAAGGCCAGCGAGTCCCTGTCCCAGACCATGTTCAGGGTGGGGACCAAATCATTAAAGGACTGGGCCCTGAAGAGTATGTTGTACAATTTGCGTCGATCGCTGGCACGACGGTCATCGTAGCACCATTTGAAAAGGAAGCCTTCGGCGTCGCGAATAGGATCTGTTGAGGGCACTTGGATCTCCATCATTAGTGATTTAGTCCACGTGAACCTAGATCTGCGAGGTCTATCCCAGACGAGCTTATATAGCTATTTCGAATGGACTTGCAAAGGGTTACACCTAAAAGAACTTGTCGAAATAGTCACTTTTGAGGCCTATAATAAGCTTCAGACCATTTCTGGTGCCGTGCTGATTCAAGGCCCACGCTGATTCGGATTCTCAAGTGGCTCGAGACCAAGCTCGCAGCGATGCCGCACCTCAGAGGATTTAAGAGGTATTTTGGACTCACAACGGCTAAAGATCAGAAGAGGAAAGCTTGAGTCTTGGAATGTCACACCTCCCCTTTGTGTATCCTTTCGACTGTAGATCGGTGGGTCGCACCCAGGGCCCTGGCCCTGAGTTCTGTGAGTGTCCGGCTGATGGCGCTTCTACTTTTGGTGTTTTGACGCCTTTATATGTTGATTCTCAGCTGCGTACCAGATTGAGGACTTTTAGAACTAGACCTGAAAGACTTAATATGCTTCGAAGAAGTAAGGGCGCGCTGTTTTTTTTCTTCCAGCCATCTACCATAGTCAACCTCTTTTGCGCCCTTTCAGACGCTGAATACGGTACTAACCAAGACCTGCCTGTGATATTCTTCTCCGGTATCCCCACAACGTAGTTGGACAGTCAGCCGGACAAGACACATGCCCGGACAGTTTTGCCAGCTCTTGTAGGCCCTTCGCATCCTGAAATCGAAAGTCTATATTAAGCACTGCGCATTTAAGACAATCATTTACCACCACTTATATTGTGAACTATAAGACAAGCGCAATTGCACTGCAATTGCGGATTCGCTTTTGCGCCACATATATATAAAAGATCGGTAATACGTTACAATCATTTGCGAAGACTCCCTCACAATATCGAAATATGGAGAGATGAAATGAATAATGTGTGGTTGAGCCTTAGTGACGCCCAGTCCCCGGCCATTTACCGAAACCCTGACGCTGAACTGCCAGCTCGGTTCGTCTTGAGTATCGGCAACGGTACGACAAGCAGTTCGCTTCCCTTACCCGCCCGCACGATTACCATCACGGCAGCGACTATCAGAACGTGAACGGTGGAGGGGCTGGCCTAGGGTTGAGAGCGGACTTGGCCCGAGCTAATGGACGACCAGGAATCTCTCCGCTGTCCGCCGTGCCGAGACGAATCAGACACTAACCTTCTATAGCCCGGTAGTCTCGCCAGATTTCCGATCGAGTTCAGCTGTCGCTCCCTATCCCAGTGTCGCTGTCTCTGTTACCGTCGATGCCACCAGGATGGCCCAATCGCCATTCTACTCATTAAGAGAATGACAGTCGGAATGTCCGCGGGGTCCGGGGGCATGATTCATTCATCTCATAACTACCTTTGTCCGGGCCAGATGGCTCTGCTGGCCATGCCTGAATCAGCCACTGGTAAAGCCAATCTGCTCCGTACTGTAGTTCCCGACGACAGTCACCAGAAAATGGAACTCACTGTCTTGCCCCAAACGGCTCTGGCCCTCGCCACCCTAGCTGGAACTGGACATCCAACCAGTGCGTGCTGAGCCAAGCACGCGGGACAAGCTCGCTATTGCTGTTAAACTTCATGGTCATAACTCGTCGCATTCGTTCTCTATCAAAGCCTGACTGAGAGTGGTTGGTGAGGACTGAAGGCTGGGTAGAACTTTTCAATTGCCATGTTTCAGCTTCAGTCTGCTTGACGTAAGTAGCCGCGAGTTACTCGTTAAATGTCTCCCAAGGCCTTCGGTTTCTCTTCGACCCTAGTGACCCGATGCATCAGGCCGCAGACCAACACAAACAGCCATTGATTTTTTGAAATGATGCAAACCGAACGGCAGGGTACAGTGGCCGGACCCGACGCTTTCAGCAGCGGCAGGATCTGTTAGCTCAATGTGAAGCTCTCTTAACACTACAACCACCGAAGAAAGTATCATGTATTTCGCCAGGCTTTCGCCGGGGCATCTCGAAGGCCCTCCCCCAAACGGAAACCAATAGCCTTCCAAGGTTGCCTTGGCTGGCTTGCCCTGGTCTTGGTAATTGGCTGTGTGGCGCCGCCCTGGCTCCGGACTGCGACTGGCTCGGCCGTCGAGCCCCGCGTTCGGGCGGATAAGGAACCTCTCCGCCCAGAATTCATTGACAGGGCGCGTTCCGTAGGGTCCAAGGACGGCGCTGCCATTCCAGAATTTGTCGTCTGCACCTCCAAGCCAGTTCGAAAACATCACTGGCGTGTTGCGCTTGATCTTGCAGCCGCCAAGAATCATGTCCCCATCGGGACGTCTGCGGCCTACTGCGCCTGCAATTCGAAGGCGCAATGTCTCCCGATAGACTGAATTCAGTAGCGGCAATGCCACCAACTTCTCTACATCCAACCCAGACGGATCTGAAAAGGCACATCGTACCTCTGCTTCGACGCGTGAAGCGAGGTCTTTATCAAGCAGGATGTAAAGGAGCATCCATAACGTGGCTGGAATACTGTTCGCCATCGTGCTACGAGGAATAACCACACGCTGCGCATAAGAAAACGACATCCCTCGGGGTAATGGGCACTTACACGAATAAGTAGCCGAGCATGACGCTGGCGATTCCATCATCAGAGAACCCCAGGTCCTCATGCCTTCTGACCATCTTGCGCATACAAGCAGTTCCCCAGACAGGTTCGTAGTCAGGATCGGATCTTTCAATACTTTCCATGTCAGACTTGGAATGACACACTACTCGCCAGGTCTTGAAGTTGTTAAGCATTGTGTCGCGGGCTCTGTAGGAGGATGGAGAGAGCCAGCGGGAAAGTCCCATGGCGATATTGGGAAACGCTTCGTAGAACCTCACGAAGTCTTCACAGAAAGAAGGAGACACAGTCAAAACATTCTCGCCGTATAGTGCTCGGACCTCGGCGCGAAAGAGATGACCGAATAAGAAATGATATAGGTCAGGGAGTTGGCTTGGCTGACAACTGAGACTGGCGTCGTCGAGGAGACTGCACGTCAGATTGGCTAGGAACCGTTCAACTGTAACCCTGAGGTGGCGACCCTGGAAGTACAGGGCGAAGTCTCTGCGCTGGTGGCTTATAATCCGGCGAGATGGATCGGGATGGTTGGTCTTGTGCACTGCTGCTACCTCAAAAGACGATATGAGGCTGTGGTCGAATATGCGCAGGTCCGTTGTTGGCATGCCGAAGAAATTCCGGAGGGCATCTGAGAGCCCTGGGCTAGGGAGAAGATGCGGACTCCGGAGCAGCTGACGAACCTGCTCGCCTGGCGCGGCCACGTAGATACCGTATCCGCAGACGCCGATGAACGCCGGAGAGCCTCGCTGGCGAGACCTTGGCAAGTCAATAAGGACAAGCTGGGCCGTTATGGAGCCTGTCACTCACAACAGACCGCGGAGAAAACTTTCACGGTTGAAGAGGAAGAAGATGGTGTTGAGTACTCCGAATCGGGCAGGAGATCGCCAGGGAGACATTACCCAAGCTTTAGGCTGGCATTGAAGATTCTGTGTGCAGGCGAGAATGAAGGCAAAACTAGTAGCAAAAAGAGCAACGTAGATGATGCTGTTCGGCAAGCCAAGGAGGTCTGAGGCGGCAGTGCCGCTGTGCACGAGCATAGACATTATGGATAGTTCGGGGTGGTCTCTTGAGCGGAGTGTCTAGAGACTGAAGACGGCGGTAATATTCGTATCCTGGTTCGAAGGATTTTATATTGAAAATCACTTACTGAGCCTGAGGCAGGAGGAATCATTCTTGTCCACTTTGACCCATAGAGTCACTCACTCTTCGGTCAATTTCACTGTAGCCCTGTGTAGGTTCATTTGCACTCTTGTCATTTGCCAGAATAATGGCGCTTTAATTTGCTCCAAACTGTCTGATCCTGACATCACAGACGAAAATGAAGCAAATAGGTCTATACAGTAGCATGGACTGTATGATTGGATGTCGATGTCAATCGATTGGTTCGAAATAGATCTCTCGCAGCTGCTGTATGTTGTTAAAGTGCTGCACGTTATTTCTGGCTCACAGCACAAACTGGAAAGCCAACGGTCCGGTGTGTTCCTGTATAGTACAGTACAGTATTGTACCGTACGCTGTAATTTCGTTGGTGAAAACTTGAGCTCCAACCTGCCAAGAAGTTGGCACCCAATAGCATTTTTTGACAATAACCTCCCGGGCCGCTCTAAAAAAACGGGCACCTGTCGAATAGGAACTCAATGCGTAGCAATGTGTATCGTCATTTAGACGGAAACCGTATCGCCCGTTTGCAACCAATGGGACGCCAGTACGTCTTGATACTCTACTCACAGACATGGCGGCCAAATATGGGCTTTAACATTCTTGAGCCTTTGATGGTACAGTACATATGTATTGTATAGTAGAAGCGATAGGTTCGGATCATATTGGCTGCAAAACCGGAGGGAAGTGCATTGAATGAACAGTCAACCCAATCAGCGCAGAGTACGAGAGAATGACACAGTTCTCCTTTTCAGCGACTCGGGGTTGAGAGTGTGGAAGTGTGATTGGTGGAGACGCGCTTAACCCTGTGATTTCAGGCTTGAAACATTTCATGTACTGTGTTCCTAGTTCTGAGTGACTCCAAATCCCAGAACCAGCAAGATTATGGAACTACCAATAGACGAACCCACATTGTTTACTCGTCGATGCTAACGGAAAAAGCCATTACCACGTAGAAGTACAACATGCGGCCTAGCAGCCTGTTTGATCATTTCGGACATGGCCAGTTCAGAAATACGATTTGCCCTTTAATATCAGGATTCTGGAGGGTTGTTGAAGGTACTTGGTATGTTCAGCTGCATCCCTCTTTGAAAATGTGGTTAGCATCTTAGAAAAACTCTGGGTAATTTCATCTTTGGTTTGCCCAAGGAATATTCAGATTTCAGCTAAGGATGAAAACCACTCCTCACGTTCTCAATCTACCAAAACATATGGTTCACAAGCTTTTTTTATACATCATGAGTTGTCAATCACAACTTCCAAGCAATAGAACGATCTCGCCTCGCACTTTGATTGGGCGTAGAATATACAACCCCGACAACGTTTAAGACTTCCAACAAGACTCCGGACCCAAATGCTTTGGCCACTTAGACGCGCGAAAGAAAGGTTTCTACGAATTAGTAAAGCTCAAAGTCGTCCACTCTTGAAGCATCATGGCTGTCCAGTAGAGTTGGTACGGATTGTATTGGCAGCGAAGGGACATTCGTTCATGGATTAGCCAACATATCTGCGCCAATCAATCTAGCGCATAGCAGGAGGGCATGGTGCTCTCTTGTATATAGACTCTTGACTCTCTCAGCCTGTGAAAATATGATTGGGAGAGAAGTAATTGTTCTCAATCGTGGGCCTTTGCGGTTTTTAACTGGACTCATTCCGATTGGCACGGCATGTAGATGGAAGACAGCACAGTATCGCCAGATGCCTTCCACAGGCGAGGACTTCGAAGGGCATACAGTACTTGATCACAAACTGATATGCTAATTAATGTGAGATTCCTCACTGCAAAGCGTTCCGATCTCTCTCTTTCTCCTGCCAAACAGCTTTGTGCAGCGAACCATCAACTTGCACACATTACACCTGTCTTCGATATGGCTGAAGGAAGTGCTCGTGCGGAAAAGCTCCGCTCGCTCATCCAGGGACATGAGCTCAGTGCCACTGCACGAGACGCCGAACTGCTCAAGGATATCAAGATCGAGAACTGCATCGGATTCACCAGAGTACCTCTCGGAATAGCTGGCCCCTTGCAGCTCAGAGGGCCTGACGCTGCCGGAAGTCTTTTCTTGGACAAGGTTTGCGCCCCCCTAGCAACTTGTGAGCCCACACTTATTGCCAGTTGCTCCAGGGGTTGCAAGGCCTTCAATGTGTCAGGCGGCGTGAGCTT